AACTATCAAAATGCCTGCCATTTGAAATAAATAAATTATTTATAAGTAAAAAACTAATGGCGATATTTGTGACACTTTCAATTGAACAAACTTTCTATCGCAATAAAAGTTGGGAAGAAAACAAGATTTCGTTTCTGCTAATATGGTCAGAATTAACTTGGAAGGCGATTAACAATGTTGTACAGAGCTTACGATATCTCTTCCACAAATCTCCACCCAATTGTGTGTAGCTTGAAGCGGCCCCATTTCCTACCCGCGTCTGTCGTCTCTCTTGGCTTGTTTAAGGTACATGGCTCGTGAATCTTTTCCACCTACCTAACTCTGCCTTGCGCCTATATCCTCCATTTCTCACCCCCCTATATAGTGGACTTTATAGCGCGAGTTATCTTGACTCCTGCTAATTGAGCTCTATTCTGTTTGCCCGTTCAACTCCTAATAATCCCTCCCTATTCTTTAATCACGGGGTGCGCAATAGACTTATCTCCACGTGGTGCACCCTGGGCAACGTATACTCGTACGACAAAATAGTCTTTTGATCGACAGTTGACTTCTGACTTCAAACTACTATGGCCCGACTATTTGTCACATTTGACCCCTTCACAGTACTCATCTTACCTATTTTATGCCTTTGTGTCACTATGTCTGTCTCTCACATCTTTGAAGCACTCTTCTGTTCCCCCTCTCGACTTTTTGTCACTTTGATGTTCCTTCTCCTCTCTGTGAAGCCCCGAAGTCAGCTCCAGAACAAGTGGTAACTATGAAAACGCCTGCCATTTGATATAAATTCTTTAATCACTTCAGAAATAGGCATTCCACCATCGGCTCTAACGTCTTCCCACCACCACACCTTGAGAAAGAGATACCTTGGCTTCCCCCAAATCAGAGCTTCTAGCGAAATCTGTTGGATTCAAGTTAACTGTGAACAAGGTGTTATCGCCAGTAATTTCCTAAGACAAAATTTTTACTATCGACCAACAAGATTGAAAATATTTCCCGTTATATGTTACTGTGTGCAAAAACACTTCTAATTCTCAAAACATGATGTGCATGATGTGCGGGAATGAAATAAACATTATTGACCAAAACTTTGCATACATGAAGTAATCTCTACTAAGGGACATATTGTAAAATACGTAGAGAAGCAAAGTTCACAATGAAATTGAAATAACAAAAATGTATGAAATGGTCTGTAAAACCCGCTTTTTTCTCGTGCAATCTGAACTAAACAGGCCGATAAAAATAATATGGTTAAATTAATAGTAGGACCAACCGATGATTCAAAACAAATGCTTCATCAACCTCACAAAACAACATAATGAGAACGATAAGAAGGGCCATTCGCATACTACAACTCCACACCTTCAGAAAGCAATTCTAGCATTATGTTTGCAATCCACGTCATTGGATGAACACACCAAAAAAAGCGTGGATTTCATGACTTGAGAGCGTTTACCACTGCGCTACTGGCACAAATACTGCATAAATCTGCTTCCCTATCCCATAACTAATACATACTCTACAAACTCTAATAATAATAATAAATCTCACATTTAATGAAGCACAAGAAAAAGCACTTTCTCCCAAAGTTCACAGTGCTCTTTAAAACAAAGCAAGCAATCTATGTGTTTAGCATAAATCGACCTGCATATATGCATTTTTAGGCATTTATCAACTAAGCCATAAATAACGCCATTTTTGATAGTTATATGGAGCAGACTACATGCGGCCATAAAGGCTTACCTTCGTTTATCTAGTTTGAATATATCTGGTCCATAGATGACAGGTGGGTTCAAGACCTTATTTGTCTTTGAGGGGCTTTGAGCAGATCGAGGAACTGGTAATGGACCATCAGAGAGGTAGAATATGGGCTTCCTGATATCCGATGGTACTTCCACTTCGTCTTCGTTGGATTCTTGTCTGGTGGAGTTCAACTGTTTATGGGCTTGGATATTGTGGGCGATTTTGGCAGAAAGAAGTTGTAGTCGAATGTCCTGAGATGCGGTCCAAAGGTTAAGCCAACTTTCTAAAGCTGAAAGGAGAAATGAAATTTGTTCCGACTTTATCGAGGCAATAGTTCCAGAATCTTCAGTTTTCCCAATTGCAAATATCCAAGGATTCTTGGCCTACCTCATTACAAGGGAATTAATTTTAACAAATCAAATGCTAATCCGCTCATGTAAGAAATTTGAAGGTAAAAGGAAATTATACTATTAAATCGTGTATTTCGAGGTGTTGAGAAAAAAATATTGATTTTAAACCGATTACAACCTTAAGTTAATTTCATTAACACTTATTATGTTATGTGGGAATTATCTTTTTATTGCATTTTTTAATGAAGTTTTATGGGTTGAAATACACCTGTAGATACAACAGTTGTTGTTGCTAAAAATTCATCTTCAATAGTGGTGATGACGTAAGAATATTGAAAAAGGATCGCGTAGAAATTGCCTGAAACTTAAGTGTCATGAGGTTATAAAACAGGACCCCATGTGAGGTTAAGGATTCATAATGACTACCAAGGGATGAGGGCTGCTTCAAGAGCCTTGGCAACGATTTCAGTTTTCGTGGAAAAGGAGAACTGTAGCGCATAAAGTGAAGTACTGAATGGTGCCCAATTGTAATTTGTCCATTCATGAAAATGAGATAGTCTCGAAAATGTGCAAGAAGACGTATATAGGGAAACTCAAGTCTCAAAATTAGGCAGTAAAGGCAAAGGGATCAGTGATTGGAATCTCCAGTCGTCCCCGCCAAGTGCCCATGTATATCGGTGTGTCTCCCTACCGTACTAATATTCGCTTTAAAATAATGAAATTGGATTCAAGATAACAAAAAATGGTAGGAATAAGGTCATGATGAGCACAATCACATACATGTATTAATAATCGTAGCATAAGTGTAGTTTGCAAATATGCAAACAGATGAACAAGACCATGAACAATCAGGACCATCCGCGAGTGAAGTGAAGTGAAGTGGAAGAATTCAAGTCACTCACCGCGGGTTCTGCAATGCCGTTCGTCCACTACCTAACCAAAGTATTTGTAACCGAATTCCGAAATGGGCTTGAAAATTACATAACCAGATGTAGGCTGTGTCCTAAATGTCCCCCTTAAGTTATACCGCAAAAAAATTTGACAGGAGAAACAGAGGAATGAAGCAGGTTAGTGAGAAAAAAAATATTCAGATCATCAATGCGATAAAGATACACAAGTCTACCATGGCATAGCTTTAATCCTAAGGAATATTTTAGACATATACCCGCCATCTTTGCTATTATTATTAGCTATATTAATAATTATTTAAAAGACAAATGACCTTTTATGATATTTAGCTGATTATAGTCAAGCAGACAGTGCTCTATAAGCCATGTGCTCACTTAAAGCGCACATAAATAACTGAAAGGTGCTAAGTTTACTTATTTCTAAATAAGTTACGATGAGAGAAACTAGATGCTTCAATCTATGTATTTCATATTGAAACATTTATTACAAGCAGATGTGTGAGTCATCGTGTGCATACTATAGATCGACTCATTTAGCCTCCTTTTTTAGGTAGTGCTATATAACAACAAAGATCAGTAGATCTATGGATCATACATTTTACATCAGGGAGTGAACGCGATAGACTTACCCCCACGTGGTGCACCTTAGTCAACGTATACTCATACGGCAAAAAAATCTATAAAACAGTAGTTGATTTCAAACTACCATGACCCGACTGTATGTCATATATTCAACCCTTTCCACAGTACTCATCATACCTTATCTCTGCCTTTGCGTCCGTCTCACTCTCTCACTTCTGTCCCCTCTCGTATTTTGTCACTTTGATGTTTCTCCTCCTCTCTATGGAGTCCGAATTCAGCTAAAGGGCTTATGATAGCTATCAAAACCCCTGCCATTTGAAATAAATAAACATTTACATCAGAGTTAATTTGGGATTTAATGCCCACCCGCAAGAACTTCAAGATAAGAAGGTCTCCATAAAAAAGCCCAAAATTTTGGTTGCTACCGCGTGCCCACCAGAAACACGAAATCTATTAATTTCAATTTCCCCAACCCACTAATAATTGCACGAAATTGACAGTTGTGTGTCTTTGATACGAACTTCAAAATCAAATGAACTAAATAAATAGTAAATAAAAATGTAAATCAATGTGTTAGGAAGCCGCAATTCCTACTCAACTAGGCACCCAATTCAATTCTATATAAGCCAACACATGCTCTTAATAAGTCTTCACTCTTCTTCTTCTTCCTCTAGAGAGCTCGGCAAATCCAAGTCTATGAGAAAAAGGGCAAATGCCTTGGGAGATGGAAAACTCACAAGGCAACGAAAGAGTTTCAACCGATCCTGGCATAATGGAGAGGTAGGCAAGAAAAGAGGCGAATTGGTACTGGCAGTAGCCGAAACGTATGAGGTGGTCTTTTTTAGGTCGGAAGGCGGGAAAAGGCGTGATATCACGAACTGCGGGGACGTCGAGGCAGAGGAGGAGATTGAGACGGTCCGAGCAGGAACTACCTAAAGCATAGGCCTCCTCCAGTACATCCACAGGGAAGTAAGTAGCAAGAAGGCAAATGGCGACATTCTCCAGCTTATCCATTGCGTGCTGGACGAAGTCTAAGGAGATGTTGGCTGGCGCTACTGCCTTCAGAAATTCGTTGGACTAGGAGGGAGCAAAAAAAGGACTAACTTCAAAATGGGGGAATATTGATCAAAGGTACACAGCAAAGTAATAGTGACAGCTTGATTTTTCGCATAGAGCAGAAAATGATGCAAGTGCATGCCTTTAAGGAGTACTATTTTAAGACCTTTACCGGTGCAAATGACTTCACCACGATTTTAATCTAATCACTTACGCGATAACTTGCTTGTATGTGATCTATGCTAAGCTTAATTTAAGCCATTTTGAACAAGTGGTAATCTCAAAAAGAGAGGGATCAAAATTACAGAAAAGTGACCTCCTATTAGTACTAAAAAGGCCCCTCGATGGACGTGAGATTCAAGTACGAAAAGCCACCCACATTTACCAGGGCAAAAGGATTTGCCATTTGCAAACAAAGGCCAAATTGGGAAATGAGGATTCTGGTGTCTTGAAAAATGGAGGTAATAAATAACCTGCTCAGTACCTTAAAAAGGCAATTTTATAAAAACATCATAGGGTTAAAGTTTAATAAGTCTAGACAAAGGAGGAAAGGCAAAAAAAGTGCCTACAAAGAATTTAAACAAGCAAAAAATGAATTAATCGCATTTAAATGCGTAAAATGAGTTTTTGCAATCTAGTGACCTCACACTGGTGTTTAAAATATTGCATAAATTAAGTTACTATACTACTTTAAGAATTATTAAAAGAATATTAACGGATGGATATATCAGTAGTAAGCTGGCAATCTCATTTGTAAGGGATTCCCTGAAGTTCTTATTCGATTGATTCCAACTTTCAGATCCTCCCACGCGATAGAAAGAGTCCTCTCTCCTTCACGACACAGATCACACTTGGATAGATCACTTTCCAGCATCCAATATCATGCTTGTGCATGAAGGTAGATAAAATTGAGCATTTTGCCTTCACTTGTTCCCCCTAGTTTACACTAACAGTTGCCTACTTTTTTTCTGGCAGAAACCTCTTAAAATTTTCTAACACCTAACATATAACACCCTTTCACTTCAACACTAAGTTCAAGGCTGGTGACTCCATGGCATTCTGTCACCGTTCATATCTTCCTCTCACTCCTCGTAAAGAGATGAGAAAGAAAATTGATTTTCACCTTTCATTTTCGATTAATGCCTACCTAAAGACTCCGATGCCCAAATATTCATGTGTAATGTGTTGTATGTCGCCTTCCCACCTTGCAATGCAGTAATCGCAGCAATTGGAAGAAAAAAATTTTAAGAAAAAATTCCTCTATCCCGGGCTAGTGGCCTCTAAGTTAGCGCACCTTCTTCCAAGCAGATCACTGGTGCATAGAAAAGGACGATTTTCTATCATTTCCGGTCGAATGAAAGAGCGTAGAAAGTAATTTATTGAATGACGACTTACTTTGCAGTAGAAAGTGAGCAGCTCAAAATCCTCCATAAGAGATTTGAGGTTGTTGTTGGTGGTGTTGGTGGGATTCGAACGTCGAAAAGGCAACTTCGAGTAGAAGGACTCTGGCATATGAGTAGGCAGATCAAGCTGAAGGAAGGCAATAAAAGTAAATAACTCAATTAGTGTGCATTAATTCGTATCTCTAGTAGGCATATGCTAGGTTTACCTAAAAATCAAGCCTTTGTGCTTAATTGCTCTTTGGCGTTTATCTATTCCAATGAAAATTACTAGAGCTTGGACCTTATTGAAGCGCTGTGCATTACGTAATGCGTTAACTACCTCACCACAACAACAAATGCTACAATGCAAAGCCGAAACTGAGTGATGGCAGATACCGATTTAAGGGAAACAATTTATTTGTTTATTGGTAGTAAAAATGACAGTCTGCCATTTGATTAGCGTCAGAAAATACCGTTGTCAGAGGGGTGTGCGATAGACTTGCCTCCATGTGGTGCACCCTGGGCAACGTATACTCATACGGCAAAAGAGTCTATAAGCCGCCAGTTGACTTCTCACTTCAAACTACTAAGACCCCATTGAATTTCATATTCGACCACTTCCACAGTACTCATCCTACCTTTTCTCTGCCTTTGTGTCTGTCTCTTTTACATCTGTGAATCACTCTTCTGTTCACCATCCCTTGACTTTCTGTTACTTTGATGTTCCTTCCCCCTGTGAAGCCCGAAGCCAGCCAAAGGGCTAATGATAACTATCAAAACGTCTGCCATTTGAAATAAATAAATAAATAAATATTTGTTCTGCTTTAGATTAAGTGGCTTTTTGTAATTCATCCTTACCATAATCACATACTATCCAATCCTACTCATATTATGAAATCGTGGCTAATTTAAAGCAGACAGTATCAAATTTCATTTAATTGAACGTCTGATATATTTCGAATTCTCAAGGGTTCGAACAGTCGAAAGCTTGATATTCACTTATTTCTTTTGACTCCAATGGTTCCATATTGCCCTGACGAAGAAAATATCTGTAAACAGTGCACGAACTGTGTGTTTCATGTGAAAATCGAGAACTATTGTAACATGAATAAATTGAAATCCGAATTTCAAAGCAAACATTTCAAATATTCAAGTATTTCGTTATTACCGGACAAAATAAGTGATGGATAAAGGATGATAGTGCACAAAATTTGCATGTTTACAATTTTACCCCACCAACATCAATTTTGTCTGTAATAGTTAAGCAAATATTAATTAGGGAATTCCTTCGTCCCATCCACTGACCCACTTTTGTGAACCTCGTAATAAATCAGACCTCAAAATCAAGGTTGGTTCCAAGTTGAGAAGATCAAAGTCGGGAAGGCTGATTTGTGAATCATGATTGTGGGAAATTTTTTTGAAGGGAGGGGGGGGGTGGGAGAACAATGCAGCCACATTCATTTTAGACTACCCTGCTCTGCAAGGCATTAATTAATAAGGGAATTATTGTAGACTCAAGGAAGGAGGGAGCGGAAGGTGGTGAATTATTATCGTTTCTTTCCTGACAGGGCCCTTTTGTATTTTGCACCAACCAGAAATACTCCAATTGTTTTGCTTTGCAACACTCCCCATCAACCCTTCAAAAGCATCAATGGAACTTGCTTGGATTAAGAGCAAGGGGGACATTGTATTCCCTGTCTTCAGTTCCCCACAATCGGTCCATTAATTTTGCCCAAGAGCAAATAATTGCCGTCTTCAAATGTCCTTTGTAGAGCTAATATCTCCATACCGATGGGGGCTCACATTTCCTTTTACGGCAAAATTATTCCCCCTCCCCCCCCCCCCCCCGGGGAATAGGATATCTTTTGAGTGCCTAATTTGAGACAATGGAATTATCTAAATTGTCAGCTGAAGGTAAGTTGCTTCTAAAATGTCCCCCGTATAACACAACCTCTAGTGCAAGATCTAATCGATTATAATTGATTTAATGAAAATACGATTTTAAAGTCTTAATTTTGTCTATTCTTCTGGTGCTAATTCAAACGCTTTTATTGAGTAGACAACGGGTTCTTATGTTCTCATTGGGGGGTGTGCAATAGACTTACCTCCATGTAGTGCACCCTGGGCAACGTATACTCATACGGCAAAAAAGTCTATTAATCGGCAGTTGACTTCTGACTTCAAACTACCATCACCCCATTGTATGTCATATTCGACCCCTTTCACAGTACCCATCTTACCTTTTTCTCTACCTTTGTGTCTGTCTGCCTATTTTACATGTGGGAATCACTCTTCTGTTCCCCTCTCGACTTTCTGTCACTTTGATGTTCCTTCTCCTCTCTATGACGCCCGAAGTCAGCTAAAAGGCTAATGATAGCTATCAAAACGCCTGCCATTTGAAATAAATAAATGTTCTCATTGGTAGAGAACTCACATTCAGTTGCTCAAAAAATACTGCCAGAAATAATCAACGCGGTTTGCCGTCCTCCTCACTGAGCGTGTGCTGATGGGAAGGAGCTATGATCACTGACATTGCAGAAGAGCACTTTGAACACAGCTTCAACGATAAGCTTACCAACTGATCCAACTTATTATTTAATTCATTTACGATTTAATTTGGGAATGGGAAACGTGCATTTGTCATTATGGATACCTCATCTAGGTTGTGAATTCAGCTCTNGCCTTTGTGCTTAATTGCTCTTTGGCGTTTATCTATTCCAATGAAAATTACTAGAGCTTGGACCTTATTGAAGCGCTGTGCATTACGTAATGCGTTAACTACCTCACCACAACAACAAATGCTACAATGCAAAGCCGAAACTGAGTGATGGCAGATACCGATTTAAGGGAAACAATTTATTTGTTTATTGGTAGTAAAAATGACAGTCTGCCATTTGATTAGCGTCAGAAAATACCGTTGTCAGAGGGGTGTGCGATAGACTTGCCTCCATGTGGTGCACCCTGGGCAACGTATACTCATACGGCAAAAGAGTCTATAAGCCGCCAGTTGACTTCTCACTTCAAACTACTAAGACCCCATTGAATTTCATATTCGACCACTTCCACAGTACTCACCTTACCTTTCATCTACCTTTGCGTCTGTCACTTTTACATCTTTGAAACACTCTTCTGCTCCCCCTCCTCCCTCTCGACATTTTTTCGCATTAGTTTTCCTCCTCCCCTCTGTGAAGCCCGAAGTCAGCTAAAGGGGCGGCTAATGATAGCTATCAAAACGCCTGCCATTTGATATAAATAAATACTGTTATCAGGGCTCTTAATCATGCATTCTGTTTATACAAGAGTATTGGTCCGAGACAAATCCATAATAGAAGGGACCGTACACACTGATGAATGAAAGTATATCGTTAAAAGGTTTGATCAATCGTTTCAGGTCCGAGGCTCACACAGATAAAAGGCTTGGGGTTAGATTGAAACGGCGAAAGATTAAACTTAGCTAAACTACCTAAATAAAATTCAGCGACACTTACACTCAAGGCGATGCCTTTGATAACATTCATTGACTCAGCAAAAAGTCGATCAACCAAAGCAATAACAGCTTGTTCCTCTGCTGGTGTGGGCGAAACAAAACTACCAATGGCACTGAGCACTCGTCGAAGCAGCGATGTGCTATCAGACAGGAGGAGAAGAGCAGGGTCCTACAACGAAGGTCAACAAGATGAGCTCTTAAAATGCCCCAGGGGGACACATAGATGGACTACTTAGCCATTAACTGGTTAAAAGAAATAAATCAAACAAGAGAGTGAAGAGGCGAGCAAAACACATAAGACGGCATTTAGGTATATTTCAATGATACTTACAATAAGATGGTGAAGGCTATAAAAAGTTGTCATCCAAGAGGAATTCTATAAGAGTATATGTATATATATGGGTATGCATTGGTGATTAATAGTACTTCCAAACAACTTGATTAGCTTCACCCATAACATGATGGACAGGTTAAAAAGGGGGAAGTAGGGAGGGATAATGGGGGGGGGTGGGCTCTCAACTGCATGAGATCAGAGCACATTATAAATGTTCTCAGGAAGGGTACAATAATCAGAAGCTTCATTAGAAAGGTGCATTTACTCATTGACCTTGAATTTGCAGCTGCATCGCTTGAAAAAAACAGTACAACTAATAGGAGGAGAGCGATTGGGAAAATATGAAGACTCGGAGTGGAGCATAGTTTATTTCTGTATAAATAACTGGTGATGTACTTTAACGGCCTCAACTCCTCCCCCCCCCTCTCTCCCCCACCCCCCACCCCCCACCCCCT